TTGACACAAAATCTTTTTTTTTTTATAAAAAATCCGGTAGTAATAATAATAATATTTGCGGTGAATTACGTATTTTTATTATTATTATTATTTTACATTTAAAATTTCTTTTTTTTTTTTTTTTTTTTTTTTTTTATTTCACCTAGAATTATATAACGAAACCACAATTACAAATAAAAAACAAAATAAAATTTCATAAAAAAAAATTTATTTATGTCGTTAAATGAAAACATAAAAAAAATAATAATAATAATAATGATAATAATTTGAGATTTATTTGCAGAATCATCATCATCATCATCATCGTGGTGTTGATGAAAAAAAAAAAAACTAAAAATTAAATCCTTTTTCCATAATTATTATATATATCTTACGTTAATTTTTTTTTTTTATATCAAATTAAAAACTTTTGTTTTTTTTTATCATAACCGATATAATAATAATAATAATAATAATAATAATAATAATAATAAAATTTTTACTCGTCGTTAAAAACTCATTTATAATTAATTATTAATAATTTTTTCCGATAGCGAAATAATCATCAAAATAATATTTTTTTTAAACAAATAAATATTATCGTTATTATTATTATTATTATTTCAATTTCAACTTACGTATATACTTCGTAATAATAATAATAATAATAAGTTAAACAATAAAATAAAAGGAAAATATTACAAATAAATTTTGTTTTTTTTTTTTAAAATAAAATTTTATTTCATTGTAGTTGTAGTTGTATTGTTTTAGGCAGTTTTTTGATTTGATTACAATAAAATCTTTCACATTTTTTTTTTTTTTTACGTAAATAATTAATAATAATAATAATAATAATAATAATCAATACGTCACGAAACAAATATATATATATATATGCGTGATTAATTGAGACGATGATTTAAAATTATTAATTACAACACTTATGTTAATTACAATAAGACAATTTCATTTAAAAAAAAAAGGAAAGAAAAAAATACATAGATAGATAAATAGATAGACAGATAATAATAATAATAAAATGATACAAAATTTATTATTGATAAATCATGTTGTCGGTTTTAAATAAAGCTCGAAATAAATTATTTATTTATTTAAATAAAATTACCATTCAATGTAAATTTCGAGTATCCATCTAACTTGTTTTTTTTTCTTTTCTTCTTTTTTTAAATTAATAATAATAATAATGATAATAATAATAAAATTGTCATACATTACATTAACATTGACATTAACCACCTAATTCTAATATTATTAAAATTAAAATAAAAAAAAAAAAAAATTTATGTATATATATAAAAATATATTTAAAAATTAATAATCTCATTAAATAAAACATTTAATATATATATTTATAAATATATATATATATATATATATGTATATATATCAACCTTGAAATGTTCTACTCAAATTGTGACATTAAAAAAATAATAATAATGATGATAATAATAATAATAATAATAATAATAAGAGTAACAAACGATATTTAAAACGATGATTTAATAAAAAGAAGAGTATTATTGTTTTAAAAATATTTATTTACTCGCTATCCATCATTATTATTATTATTATTATCTGTACGTACACGTATTACCATCGAAAACATACACACGTATAATTAATTGTCATTGAACGTGATAAAATAATAATAATAATAATAATAATAATAATACTAATTACGTTTTTTTTTTTTTTTTTTTTTTTTTTTTACCCGGCCTTTAATAAAAAAAAAATTATATTTTTATCATTAATGAAACAAACTGGGGCTGAAAATTTTTATATTTTTATTTTATTTTATTTAATTTATTTATAATTAAATTTTTAATTACATAAAACGAAAAAAATTATCATCATTATCATTATCATTATTATTAACATGATTTTCTTTTTAAATGAGTTTTTGTTATTTTTTTTTGTTGTTCACACTAGTAGGATATTTTGTTCGAATACAATCATATAGATAAACTTAATAATTTTTTCCTTATTTTTCTTTCTTTTTTATTTATGTATATTTACAAATAATTATTTTAATGCGTATTTATTTATTTATTAATTTTGCGTGCTTTCGTGCGTGACATTAATAAATTTTATTTCTATATTAAATTTTACCGAGAAAAAAAATTTGTGCTTCCTTTTTAAAAAATAAATAATTTGCTTAAAAACATGAGAATTATTATTATTATTATTATTATTTTTTTTTTTTTAAATACTTAATTTTTACCATTGAAACAATTTATAATTTAAAAAAAAAAAAAATAATAATAATAATTACAAATTATTAAAGATTTAAAATGTTGCGTTTCGTACAAGTATTATTAAAAAAAAAAACAAACAATTATTTACACACACACACACGTGTCAAAATGTAATTTTTTTTTTTTTTTAAACACGTGTATTTTGTGCTTTCCTTCTCCTTTCCTTTTTAATAAAAAAGTTTTATAATAATTTTAAAATTTAAAAACTGAAAAAACGAAAAAAACATAAAAAAAAAGTGAAATAATGTTTCCAATTGGATAACATTTGAGCATTTAATTAATTAATTTAAAATATGAAAACGAAATTCTTACTCTCAATACTTATTATTATTATTATTATAAAATATATAAACACGTAAATTAATATCATTATTCGAATTATTTATAATTAAATAAAAAATAATTATTAAAATCCATATTGTTCTTCAACTTGAACTTCATTTTATCTTTATTATAATAAAATCAAATAAATAAATTTAATTTTTAATAAATCCTTTAAAATAATAATAATAATAATAATAATTATTATTATTATTCTTATGTAATAAAAATGTCACGCTTAAATCATCAAATTCATCATCATCATCATCATATTATTATTATAATAAATTATTTTATAAATTAAATATAAAAAAAAAAAATAATAATAATAATTTATCGTAAAATATAAATACAATAATTATTAAAATAATTATTTCATTAAAAAAAACTAATGCTGCTGCTAAAAAAAAAATTTTTTTTTCGAATATAAAAATATTTAATAATAATAATAATAATAATAATAATAAATAAATAATAATAATAATAATTACGTTCGGATAAATTCTAATAATTTGTTTTCTTTTTTTTTTTTTTTTGAACGAAAATATAGTTATACATGATAATTAAATACTTTAATTATAAAATCTAAAATAATAATAATGTCTGCCACGTGATTTCATTTGTAAATAATAATAATAATAATAATGATTTCATTGATTCGACAACAACAAAAATAAAAATAAAAAAACATTGGTAAGATTACACATATATATATCATTATATATTTATTTTCTGGTTTCAGATTTTAAATTTTTAATAAATAATAATAATAATCCTCTCAAGTGATTCTAATAAAAAACTAAACTAAAATAATACAAAAATTTAGTTAAAATGGAGAGAGAGAGAAAAAAAAAAATTTTTTTTACCTACGTGAGAGGTAGGGGGCTGTAATTATTATATTTAATAATAATCATTTGATTTAAAATATATATGTACAGACACGTGCACGCGCATGCGCGCACACACACACGTGTATAATTTAATTGATTAATAAGCCTGAAATTACACGATTGAAAAAGATTTTTTTGTTAAAGAATAATTTACAACAATAAATTTTATAGAGAGCTAAATATATATGAAAATTTTACTTTGAACCCTCCCCCCCTCCCCGAAAAAAAATGTGTGCATGTCATGCATTTTCGTGATGCTTATTTAATTAATTAAATGCAGTAAATTTTCCATTTATTCATTTTTTACAGCTACCAAAAACAAAAAATGATTTACAAATTAATAAACATAATAATAGCCCCATGAACGTGATTTTTTTTTTTTTTTTAAAAAAAAAAGGTAGAAAAAAAAACTAAATAAAACTAAAATTTAAAATTTGGTTGTTGTTTGTCAGGGTTAACAACCGTAACAAAAAAAAAAATTTAGTGATGCATTTTATAAATTTAAAAACAACCAAACTAAAAAAATTTCGTTTGTTTGTTTGTTTGTTTTTCTTTCCCATTTCATTATTACGTATCGAAAAACAAACAAAAAAATTAATCAGAGCTAATAATTTCTACCTTTTTTTCTTTTTTTAATTTTACAAAAATTATTTAGTTATATTTTGTGTCATGTAAAAATTTTAAACATAAAAATTAAATTTGATAATGTAAAAGATTTTAAAAATGTCTAACGTATATATATATATATATATATATTTTCCGATTACTACGTATCTATATTAGATTTCGGTCTCTAATTTTCTCGTATCATTTCATTTTATTTTTAACCAGTTCAATAGCACACAGTTTATATTGATACAAAATTTTCATTTTTTTTTTTTTTTTTTTTACTAAATGACCACAATATACTACTACTGCTACTCATCATTTGGGAAAAATTTTTTTAATGAAATCGTGCAAATACATACATACATACATAAATCTATTTTTTTTGCACTATTCAATGAAAATTATTAACCTTTATTTATAACTTTTTTATGTAATTTTTTTTTTTGTTTGTACTAAAATATTTTAATTAAAAATAATAATCCATTAACCAAATGTAATTTAGATTACACGTTTTATGATTAAAAATTTAAAAAATGGAGAAATGAAATGAACAGAAAAAAAAAAAATGACTTAAAATAGTATATGATAATAATGATGATGATTAATTATGAATATTTCAGATATGATAAATTATTACCAACTATCATTAGAAATAATATTTAATACCTATTTGTACAACAAAATATCTTCTTCTTTTTTTTTTTTTTTGTTTTGTTTTTTTGGCAAGACCTTGTCATGTACTCGTTGCGAAATTTGGTTCATTTTTTTTTTTTTTTTTTTTTTTAATAAGGTGCGAATCTGTTGTATCCACTTCTGTAAACGGCAGCCTGAAATTTTATTTAAAAAAAAATATTTTTTTGGTTCATTCGTTGAGACTTTTTTATTATTTGTTTAAATATAAAAAATCGAAAAGAAAAAAAAAATTTCAACTCACTCCGTAACCCGTAACGGGTCCGATGCTGTGACTGGCAAGGTAAGGCTCGGCAAAATCCCTTCCGTACCTTTTATTTTTTTTTTAGCATGAAATTAAAATTTATTAATTTTTTTTTTTAAATCGAAATATAAATTATTTTTTTTAATAAGGTGGTCGTAGGTATGACTACTAATGAAAAAGGAAAGTAAAAAAAAAAAAAAACAAGGTAAGGCTGCGTGCGGACTTCATTTAAAAACATTCAGGAAATTCTGGAATAAAAATAAAAATGTCAGGATGTGTCAGAGAAAAGGAAAATATTTTAATAAAAAAAAAATAAAAAAATTAAATTAAATTTATGTAATTACCCGGTGACCGCGGCATATCCTGCAACAGGTTGTGCAGCGGCAGCAGCGGCTGCAGCTCCATAAGCTCTGGCAGCAACTGCCGTGTAACTTGCTGCTGCCGCATAACTAGCTTGTTGAGCTTGAGTAGATAAAGGAGTTTTCAGCAACGGTGAAGCTGCAGCTGCTGCAGCGGCTGCAGCGGCCTAAAACAAAAAAAAAAAAACAGTTTACAATCGATTTGCAGAAATGATTATGCTTAACAAATATATATATATATACCTGAAGTCGGTAACTTGGGTCAGCTGCTTGTGCGGCTAAAAATGTGTCATAGTAAACCCTAGAATAAAAAAAATAAGGTTTGCGTTAATGATTTGAAAAATAAATCCTGAAAGAAAAATATAATGATAATAATAATAATAATTACGGCGTAAAACCATGAAGTGCAGCAGCTGCGTGTGACAAAGTCGGCCTTACAAGACCAGCAGCGGCAAGTGTTGCAGCTGATGGGAAAGCAGAGCGTACCTGAGCATGTTGAATTCCCACTCCTCTTAATGCAGACGCTGTAATACACAACATTATTATCATTATTATTATTGTAAATTTCGTCAGATATTACAAAACAATATAAATAATAAACGAGATATTAAATACTGACCA